TATATATATATATATATATATATATATATATATATATATATATATATATATATATATATATATATGCACTGGTTCAATTTCCAGAAGTGTTCTGGAATCAAGCTATTATTTAAGTCCATTTGTAATTATGAAATTTGAGAAGTTAGTAAACTTCTTGGCATTGTATTCATGTTGATGGATCTAAATTGAACAACATATAGGGAGAATCTGGCCTATCAAGAAGCTTCTTCTACTCTGCAGGTCAACTGGATTCTGTAAGAAGGTAGATGGAATAATCATTTCAAAAAGACTGGGAATATGAACAGATGTTTTGGGACCAATCTACAGAAGTTTTGTTAGTCTTAAGACTACAAGGAGGTTGATTATCAGCTGTTATTTGGAGTTCTTTGGTTATACGTGAGCTGTAACCATGGCTCTACATATTTTGATAATTAGTTAAGCTAAAATAGAATAAGATAAGAAGTGAAAGATGTGAATCCAACATTCTTCATTATTTAAGCCTTTGATTTCTTGAATCTTGATATAGACATCTAACTTTAACATAAGACCGAAAGTCCAATTGTCTTATGTGTTGCTATTTCATATGGTGATGGATGGTTGCCACATATGTCAAGGGCCTTGATATGATATGAAGTTCCTTGTGTTTGTGAAACTGAGCAGACATGAAAATTTTGATGCAGAGGAGGGATTGATCAACCGTTATGATTCATAACAGATCATGCATGATCTTTCAACGTCTTAGTTCTGTTTGCTTCTAGGTGTGGTTCATATTCTTTATTTCCGTTAGCTAAGGCTGTGCTACAGTTGCAGGGAAGTGTAGTAAGGGTTAAAATTTCACTGCCTTCACTTCTCAGAAGTTGTTGTAGGCAACTCCCCACTATCTTGGAAGTCAAATCTGCCCTTTTGCCCTCTCAGGACTTGACTTCCTCAAATCCTGGTGCAACTTCATTTGAAACATGTTAAGTGTGCACTTGACTTAGGAACTGCACTTCCCATGGAACCACTTCCTCGGAATCAAACATCCCAAGTTATTTGGCTTTGAATTCATTTGCTATACAATACACTGGTTATGATTGTAAGAACATGAAAATTCTTTCTGCATTGCCTGCCGAGTGTAACTGTTGGTGATGGGTGATAGCTAGATCTTTGCAATACACTGATGTGTTCGAAGATGTACAAGTATGGATGGATCCTAGTTTGCTATGAACATCTATAGCCTTATGAATTTTAATCCTTTTTGCTCGTTTCGTCTTAACAAGAACTGATGGTCCCTTTCCTGAGTGATAAGATTATTCAACCATAAGGTTGGAGGTTCAACCAGTATTACCATCACTGACATGCCCACACATGTTTACATTTTTTCTTCTTTCATTATAGTTGAAAATTTTCTCATAGAAAACAATCTAACTGTGACAAGGGGAATGCAGGCTGGGAAAAAGTTTCTCATCAAGGGAGAACACAGGGCTTCTAAGATGCGCAATCTGCCAAACTGACCAAGTTCCAGATGATGATTTATTCGTTAATTCAGGTGATCTCTTCTCCCCACCATCGAAGCAACAGGAGGGTCCATATCTTTGCGTTGACTGCCGGAGGAAGAAGGATGCCATGGAGGGGAAACGGCCCAGTGATTCATCTATGTCCAGGTGAAATACTGATGGAATGTGTTCAAATGTAAAGAGGGTTAAGGTGAATAAACTGTTGGCTAATGTTCCGAGGTGGTTTCCTGATTGTTGTTTGGTGAACTAACTGCGGTGCTATCTCACATTGTGATAGTTTGATTACTAACCAGGTGTGGAAGTTGTATGAACCACTGATGGTGAACTAGTGATATTGCTCAAGAAATAGCTTCATTTATCTACTTGGAAGCCTCAGGCAAAAAGCATTTTGGTTCATGCAATACTGAATCAAAAGATCACAGATGACATACTTTATGCAGAAATATATAGTAATTTGGTGGAAAGCTGTTGTTGACGAGTCGCATGAGGAATGATGCGATGCATGTAATTTTGGTGCCTACACTCTGCAGTTCTGATAGAATTGATATCTTTCTCCATTTGTTTGCTGATCTTAGATAGTTGGAATATTGCAAGTCGTGAAAAGACCCATATAGTTCATCCTACATAAATTGAAAGAGTTCATAGTGTTTAATTATTAAGTCAATACAATGATATGGAGCACGATCTTGTCACTGGTAAAGTTGTAAATATAATCTTGTCATTCTTCATGCTTTATATGATATAAAGAGAACTTGTAGTAGGCTTGACAATTGGTTGACTTTTATAATTATTTCATATAGAGATAAAACTGTTTAGAAATAAATTATCCAGGCATTTATTTTGAAAGTATATTTTGAAAGTATTTTAGCTCTGCAAAGTGTCCATCAGCTCAAATGGTTGAATGGATATCTGGGTAGTATCTAGGGTTGGTTCATTGTTTTATTCTACGGTAATGCCATATGAGTACTTATGGGGATTTTTTTATCATGGCAAATCACTTTGCATCTTTTGTCTCTCAAGTATTTATTGAAATGATTGTTTGTGGGATTTCGAGTTAAATGTTCCCTCTAACTCATCTTCTCTTTTGCATATACTTGAAGAATCATAAGAGGTTTCGGGGAGGTTGATCTCTTGCAAACGGATACATAAGTGTGTCGTACGATTTAAGTAAAACCAGTTAAGTCCATGATCGATGGTATCAGAGTGGGATAAATATAGAAACACTTAACTTACAAATGTGGGAGACCTAGCGGGGCTACGTTGATGGCAGTTGGCACACGTGACCGCTTGAGGAAAATAAGCACTGAGACGTAGTGTCACGGGCTTAGTTGAAATTGTCTAAGTCGTGAGGTACCCTTGCGGCAAAGTCACAAACTTAGCTGAAGTTGCCTAAGTCGTAAAACATCATTGCGCCAACTCCTTGGACTTAGCTGAGATTGCCTAAGTCATGAGGTGCCCTTGCGACATATGCATCTACAAATGTTCAGCCTAGTTGCAACCTCGTACAGGTCCCGAAGGACTTGTAAAACGGAAAGTCGATTAGATTGAAAATGAGCAATGGATAAGTCATGACGTCTCGCGAAGATGGAAGCTTTACAAACAATTCAGCAAGCACCTTGAGTGCAAGAGAGGAATGAGAAAACAAGGACTTTAGAAGGTAGAATGAACAGTTGCAAGTCCACAAACAACTACTCACCGAGCGCGAAGGCAAGTTCCTGTCAAGTTAATGTGCGAACTTGTGAAGATTTTTCAATGCCCGACAATATACCGAAGCCCCATCCAGCCCTATGCCACCCGGGAGGGTTCTAGGGTGCTGAGAAGGCTGACATTTTGCGTGCAGCTGCAGCATGCAAAAAACAAGTTGTATGAAAACATAGCCATTTTGGGACAGTTCAGCTTGGCGCGACGAGCGATCGTACTACAGTGCTGCGAACTATCGTTGCTTATATTTTCTAAGCAAAAACACACAAAACCAAGGTAAAACATGCTGTCATATCTCTGTACAAGCATGCAAAAGTGACGAACGGTTCGTTGCACGAAGTTGTTGTGGGTGTGCGACGACCGTTCGTGATAGTAGGGAAAGGAGTCGCTCAAAGGAGCAAGTATTCAAGATTAGCATTCAGATGAATGACCAACCCTTCACGTAAGAGGTACCACGATGACAAACGAGTCGGGAAGAATGTATAGTGCATGAAAGTTAGGATGATTGAGTTCAAGTTACGGCTCGACGTTGGTAACCAAACTTAATGGTTCTCAAGGCAAGTGTAATGGTTAGCAAAGGATAAGATAGTACAAGGAGGGTGGGTTGCTCGACGACCAAAAGAGTTATGCAAAACTCATAGAGGTGAGAAAAATTGTTAACTCGAATAATTCGGTACTCATGCAAGGGCTTATATGCGGACGATAGACTATTTGTGGCCATCCCATGATGATCGAAACTCGATGCTATGGAGCATTGAAACTTTCTTTTTAGCATTAAAAGGATATGTCCATAAGAGGTTGAAGTGTGAAGTAAGTTCAACATGTTGCTAGGCTTTGAGGGGTATATCAGGAGCTATATTGGTGAAGAGTTGTAATCTAGCAAGTGTTTAACGAGAGCAAAATAGTGTAGATGAAATAATCCAAGGAGATTATGATCTACGAAACTTCTAAAGGAAGGATGTGGAGAGGAAAGTTGCTCTAACGGGACAAATATCCAATAGGGTTAAGTCTCAATTCTCCAGATGGAAAATCATGTACAACGGGCTACACATGTTAAGAAGAGGTACCTCAAGACAATAACTCTACAAAGCTCAACGGATCGAGTGAGCAACAAGGAATCACCACATGATATCGCACAAGGTAATACATTGGTAAACACATTGTGAGATTAAGTGGGCGAGCAACCCAAAGCAACACTAAACCAAGACACACTTAGAGTCAATGTGGAGATTGGACTCGAACGGTTGACCCATGGATGGTTGGCACAAGGGTCACCATCTATTCAATGTAAACCGAGGAGTAGAACAACTTGAGTAGAACTTGGCGAAGTGCCCAAGTCGCATGAAAAGAGTTGACATAGAAGATGAAATATTGAGCAGAGTCATAAAGCTTTCATTGGATAAAGATCAAGGATATGAACTCTTGCAAAAGCAAGAGCGAGATCATGTCATTCTATGGGTCTCTCATTCGGATGTGGCAGACTCATCTTACATTGTATTAAAGTAGAAGGTAACTTTAAAGCATATATATCTTATCTTGATAAAGTATTTGACGGAAGAACTAAGGTGTTCGACTTGCAGAGACGATGTTAGGATCAAAAGACCTTGATACGGGGCAAGAAAATGCAGAGGTGTGTATTCTTGAAAAAATGAGATCTAGATAATGACACACCAATTTCAGCAAAGTTGGTGGACTATAAGAGCTATTAGATGACTAATTGTCCTAGAATTGCATTTCGTTTAGTGTGACCTGAGAGCGGGTGGATGAAAGTTGATTTCCAAAGTGTGCCAGCAAAAGCCACATATTGTGAGATTGCAGAATTCATCTCATAAAGATCAGAATACAATGAAGATATCACTAGGAGGCGACATGGTACAATGGATCGTGATGAAATAATTCGAAGCAATATAACACGACGACAAGAAGGACAATAAATTCAAAGAGTGAATTTCATGGTACCGCAGAGATAAGCCTTCCATACATGCCTCAAATTTCACATCAGATAATAGTCTTGCATATGGGAATTGTATATCACCGAGGAAGAATTTTAAGTACAAGTACCAATTAGTCTCATGAGAAGAACTTGATCATATAGAGATATAATCAGAACGATTGGAGAGTTAGCTTCAAAGCTAATATTATCTTAAGGGAGTCCGACAAATAAAATGATAAAATTAACACGAGCCCTATAACATGATGTCGGAAGCTATGCATGAAAATTATAATCTTTCTATCGATAAAAAAAAAAATTACTTGTAGAACATAAAGATGTTAAAATAAGTTATAATAAAGAACAAGAAAACAATACCGAGTACGTTGATTAAAATGAATATAAACTCAGAAGAATGCTACTGTAGACACAGAACTTTCATATTTTAAGATTCCTAATGCAATTGATATATATAAAATATGAAGACTCAATTAAATAATATGCTCTCACATCTCATCTCCTGTGCGAAAGGATGAGTTCACCCTCACATGAACAAGTGTTGCGTGATAGTTTGAACATTCACTGTGAGGAACATGTCTTTTTAGGGATAATAGTACTAACGTTACATCCAGAACACAATTTATGCTTCTCTCTCTCTCTCTCTCTCTCTAGTAATACCAATTTAAACATACGGTTTCTAATTATATACCAAGGAATGACCACTTGAAGAACAAGAATAATGATACCGCCGATGCGCTCCTGTTATCCCCCAGCATTATGGCAAACATTGGACATGGCTCACAATGTGTCGTCGAAGATTGTGGAAAGCACAAGCCCTTGTACGAATTGGCTCCTTCGAGCTCTCTCCATCTGGTCCTTGTCAGATAGAGATGGTTCAATCCTGGAGGTATAAATCACACAGGTTAAATTAAATTTACTGGGAACATAACATTTACCAAAACAAGTGCCAAATAAAGCCTAAGGGCACGTCTTTGTTTGTTTCATTTTAACAAATAAAACCACAAGCGGATCTCGATGTCCGCTATTCCAACAAACCACTCTAAGAAACTAAATGCTTCCATCATATGTTGAGAGGGTGAACTTGCAGTAAGAATCTGTATGGATGCAAAATCTTTTCAGACATTTTAAGTGAACGTGAGGAGAAAACAGCAATTGTGGAACATAAAATGAAGAGTTCAAGAAAATCAGCAAACCGAAAGCCGCACCGAAATCCAGAACATGAAACCTCAGCAATTGTGGAAGCCGTTTAATCATAGTTCGTGATATGACCATTGCCAATATGACATGGCCAAACCATATTAGTGTTGTATAAAACCAAGTTGCTTTTGGCAATTTAATAAGCTAACAGCAAGTAAGTTGATTGGCATCAGATAAATGCAACAAAAACTCAATCGTAATTGGTCTTGTTTGCCCAATTCTAGGCAATTTGGAAACCTCGAAGGGAAGGAGAAGGCCTGAGACAGACGAAAGATAAAAGAAAACCTACAATACAGCTATGAAACAGACTGTATTTGCTATCTGCTGACACCTTCGTATTTGTTATTCATTGTCACTTTGTCAGTGTTGTAATGTTCATCATACACAATCGACAAAACAGAGATGAAAAAATATATATTTGAGGATGGTAAATATAGTTGGGAGCCAACTAAATAAAGGCTTCGGTGACATCTTCACATGCATTAACACATTTGGACCACAAGATTAACATTAGGCAAACTTGAATTTGATCAGTCTCATGAGATGTTCTGAGAGTAAGTGCATAAATAAATAAAGACTGAAATAAAGAAATAATATATGCTGAAGTAGAAATATGTTTTGGAGCATGACATGTACACCTAATTAATTCTTCTTCTTGACTAATATTGCTTTCCCACCGGTAGCATTTAGTTAAAAAAAAAAGGCACCATATCCTCTCATAGTTCACGATCTAATCTTGTCACCGTGAAGGCTTAGTGTTATTCAAGTATCAAACCCAATTAGTTTTACGTCGTTTTTGATAAAAAATAAAGAAAAAGGAACAGTTAATGTGTCTTCAAACATAAGAGAGAGAGAGAGAGAGAGAGAGAGAGAGAGAGATAGAAGCATAATTAAAGAAAAACTGAAAACTGGGGGGGCAATAGAATGTTTTCTACAAAGAAATGAAAAAAAAATCTATCACACTATCTATAACCAACCAAACAGTTTCTTATTAGTAGGCTAGCTCGCTCCAGTTAGAACTCTCCATGGAAAGAAAATAAGTGGAATTGGCCTACACTTTCCTAAAGATCAAGACTCCTATAAAATCTTTAAGTTGCTCAACTTTGGCTAGAATTGCAACAACAAAAACACTGTAATATCCCAAGTATTTTAAGATGACTATATGGATCTTTTATTGCCATTGAGCTCTGTACAAAGCAATGTTGTTAGCTAAATCAAGAGAATCTAAATTTATATTTAAAGTTTCTAGTAAAGGCTTTTAGGTCTACGAGCCAACAAGTGTAGGAGAAATTCAGAAGCCAAAAAGAAGTCATAACAAGCTCATATAATAATCGCTTTCCATTGATCACTGGTCTCGAATGTCTAAGATAAACTAGCATATCTATGACTTTCTTATCTGTAACTCATTGGTCCAATAACACTCCTGAATTCCTCTTTCTTCACAATACCAAGTAATAGCCACAACCACCATGTCACAAATCTAAATTTATTTGGATTCTTCTTGTTCTCTGAGTGCCCCATATATAACTTCAGATGTCCATTTTCATCAAACATGTAGAACCACTCTAGGATGTTCTTTACCATCTTTTGCAAAGAAGAAAAGAACAATTTCATAAAAGGCACTCTGTTGCCACCAATCAGCACAATTGACATCATTAGAAAAAATTCATTGGTTCTTCTTTAGGATCTCTTCAGCTAAGATGGATTCATCATGTTAATATTCTTTCAAACCACTGACTGCCAAATGATTATACTATATACATCAAAGCCCTATAGAAGTTGTAAAATGATCTAAAGAAGAAGGAATCCACCTCAACACATCTCCACAATCTTCCTAAATGATCTTCAAGACATCAAACCCATCCATCTAAAATATTAGTGATTTCCAATATTGATTTTTTTTTTCAATAATATAGTGGCATAGATCTAGAGTTATGGTTCGAGTGCATGCTTCAAAACTTATTCAAGTAATCAGCCACTTAAGTATTCCCTTCAGAAAAGTAGGCCCTTTAGAAATGCTTCTGGATAGTAACAAAATTGCAGAAGTTAAAGCAATATTCAGAATCTGTGAATTGAACTTAGCGCATTCAGTAAGACCCCATATAGGGAGTCAGCAAACTCTCATTTAGATTAGTTTTTTGGAACTTTAAAATGTACAGGATCCTAGTTTAGGTTGGGTTCAGCCTGCAATCAAATTGAGTAAATAAGGGTGAAAACAAATCATAGTATTTATGACTGCATAATGAGTATTGTAACCAAAATTTTCAAAGCAAACTTAACAAGGTAAATTGAATGAGCTAATATAAGGTAGAAATTGCAGAAAATTCATGATGCAGTATTTTAACATCATGTGTATGTCAGATCTCATGTTATTGTAAAATAACATAAATATCATACCTCTCAACCACTATCTCCTCTGAATTCTTGCTGACAATGTTTCCTTCATCTAATGAATCTGATTGTGCATCTTTGGAAGATTCATCCAAAGGCAATGTGTATATTAGAGATGATATAAATGGATCAGGTGCTGCCATAGGAGGAGGAGGAGCAATGTAGGAAGATCCTCCTAGGAGGGCTTGCAGATTGCCTTCTCTTAGGTCTTTTCTCAACAGAGAAAGCATGGTACGAGAAACAGATGATCCTTTGCGGTATTTCCTCCTTCGTTGCATGTAAGTCACAATTAAGGAATCCAAACTTTGAGCTGAATATAAATTGTGATCGTTTTAGGAAAAGAACCTTGGACTTTTCCAATTTGTTCAAATAAAGTGTTATCAACTCAAGCTTTAAAAAATGGTTAACATCAAGCAGAGAATAAAAAGGATATCTTGAAAAAGCTCCCATGTTGCGTTGTTAAGTGTCTAACCAAGTCAAACCCAACCCTGGCTGCACAAACAGGACATACCTGCAAAAGGTAACACATCCCAACTCTTTACCATAGCAAGTGACCATTCAATGTGCACCCAGACAGAAACAACAAAAAGCTGCCTACTCTGCTCTCATCACTTTTCCACATGCATTAGAAATCCAATGAAATAAAAGAGAATTGTGCACTATGATAGGAGAAACTCTCCTTCTGCTATACGAAACAATAAAAGGGAAAAAGAAAAAAGAAAAAACCATAACAACAACGCTTATCCCGACTTCTTGGTAAATCTGCATTCTCCTTCTCCTTCCTTAAGCTATTAGCATTGAGTGACTTGTTCAAGGTGCCGAAAATTGTTAGTTTCGATAGTTCTTTGTCAGTAACTTATCATGTTTGCTAAAACTAAAAAAGTTGCACCATCCTACTAGATTTGAAACACCCTTGAATTTAATATGTTAGAGATTTAAGATCCAGTACTGCCTTTTCCATAATTAAAACATATCCATATATACTTCAGGAGTTCAAAATAAAAGAACTAGGGTAGGCATCCCTCTTTGAACTACTTATATTCTCTAGTTTAGTTCACTAAGACAAACTATAATTCGTACAAGCAAAATGGAAAAAAAAAAACAACCATATTCATTCTTCAGGATAATTAATCAGAAGTATAGGAAATTATGGAATGGCCCTTGACTTTAACTGTCCTGTGATTCCCAGTCCATGATGAACAACAATCTCATGACCAGCCCCTGGTTTGAAGGAGTTAAAATTCATTCCTTTATTCACAAAAATGCTCTTTTTAAATTGTATATAAATGGATATCAAAGGTTATAGTCCTATAACGAATGCACTTAATTATTTATATTCACACACAACACAACTGTGAATGATAGCATTGTAACCATACATGTGGAGTTAAGCAGTTTATAACAGAGACTTGAACTATATATGAAACCGGACAAGCTAGGAAAAACAATGGCACTAATGATGTATAAAGGGCATTTGGGCCTTTAAGAGAAACAACGAGAAAGCTCTCTTCAAAATAGGGACTGTCACATGATTTTTCATTACCATGAAAAACTGCCAAAAAGAAAGATACTGCTCATTTCAGTCCAAACTAGGTGTCATTCACAGTAATCAGTAAGGTTTAAGGGTAACGAGATTGACATAAGCATTATTTATTATTTGAAAATAAGCAAAAGTGTTGACATCTAGCTATCTATTCCAATGAATTCATCAAATAACTGCTCATTATCTAACATCTAGATGTTTAAAACAAATTCAGATACAATAAAAAAGGACTCAAAACTCATTTAAAGCTTATCTTAAGAAAATAAACAAAGTTATCCAATGAGTGCTAAGGAATAAGCATATTGAAAGCGCTAGTTTCACTGCATGTCTTCTGGGGCAACAATCAAGCTCGTAGTAACATAATAGAGAAGCATCAGCCAATGCCGACAAACGAAGAGAGAGATCTAAGAAAAAATTTAGGTAAAAGATATGATTCAAAATACATCTTTCTATAAATAATTGTTTAACAAATGAAGAATCTTTACCAGGATAACAACAAAAATAACCTGGAAAAGCATCAAAAGAAAACACGAACTCGTGCAACTAACAATTTCCAAATGAAAACTAAGCTTCTCACGCACAAACAAAATCTTTACCCAAATATCACACAGGAAAGGACGAACGACATATTTCTTATTTATTACACCTTAATCAGATCGGAAAATGAAGTAATACCCCATTCTTAGCCTCCACAGGGTGCTCATCATCGATGTGGCAGCAGAGTCCGACGATGTCGAAATCCTCAGAGCAGAATGGGCAGGGGAACTCCGCGCGGGGGTCATCTTCTCCTCCTTCGAACTCCTCGAACCCGAGATACAAATCTGCCAACCGAAAGGGCCGATCAGACAAAAAAATGAACGAACTTAATAACCGCGCAATGAACACACGAACCCTCTTCGGCGAAATCGAAATCCACCCACCCACCTCTCCAACCGCGAAGATTGGGATCCCTAGACGCATCGGAGTATCGTGACTGGGGCGCGGATTGATGGCGCTTGGACGCGGCCGCGGAGAATCGGCTCCACGCATCGGGGTCCATGATCGATCACCCTCCGAATATGTTTCCCCTCGAAGAACCTGGTACCGATTATTCCTCTACCGACAACCCTAATCGACGCCCCACCCACAGATCGGAAAGAAGCGGAAGAAGAGGTGGACACAAGCTTGCGGTGTGGAAAGGCGAAGCCACCGACCGGCGTTTGATAGCACTTAATAATCGCATGGTCGTCTCGAGGTGGAAAAACCAAAACGCCATTGTGAGACATCCAAGTTCGACACCCGTGATGTACCGATTTCCAGATCGTGAGAAGGAGGTTCCAATGGGTCCCGCCAGCGTGGCCATCCAAGTACGTCACGGTAGCTGCGACGGGTAGGTCTAGAGAGTCTTTTTTCGCGTAACAACCTGTGGAGGTGGGACGTGTTGCTCGGGCGAAAAGAAAGTGGGCCCAGACAAGGACTAGGCACACGTGTAACGAGTGGGATGGATTATTTCGCTATTTGGCGTTTGGGGCTCCGAGACGCAGCACGTGAGGTTCTGTCAGAATCCACCTCGAAGATGAGAATCCGCGAAATCTGCTGTCACGCGTGAGACAGCAACCATTTAGGACGGAATGAAAGCTGATTCCCCCTGCAATAAGACTACAACTGGTCGAAGAGCACAAGAGCCGAAGCAATCAGGAGCCGGGCCATAGAGACAGTGGTAAGTCCGGGGAACGCCCTGAGGCGGGAGATGTTGCAGACCGCCTGCCAGCTCGCGAGCGCCTGGTTGTTGGAGAAGAGGCCGCTCGGGTCGAGGAACGCCGAGGGGCTGACGCGGATGGGCTGGCCGCACCGATAGACCGGCTTGAGCGTGCCAGAGATGCTCCAGTTGACCGGGGGGAAAGAGGATGGAGCGGTTGAGGTCGCGGGGTATCTTGGACACCTGGAGCTGGAAGGAGGAGACGACCTTCTCGAGGTCCATCTCCGGCGACAGGATGGTGCCATTGCGACAGCAGTGGGGGATGCCGCCGAGGTCGGTGTCGTTGAACCGCCACGGGGGGAGGTCCACGATGGTTGGCTTCCTCTTGCAGCTGAGCGCCTTGGAGAAGTCGAGGCTGTCCGTGTAGAACTGGCCCTGCCTGCCGAAGATGCAGTCGGAAGCGTCGATGACGGCGGGATAGGCGCCCTTCATGGAGTGAATGAACTCGTGGCGCTCCCACTCCCAGGAGAGCTGCCAGTGGTCAAGGCGGCCGAGGGGGTTGCGGTTCTCGATGGTGACTTGGGCGAGGTAGCTGCTGGGGTAGGACTGGATGACGTCGTAGGCGATGGTGATGTCGCCGGAGTCGCGCGGGAGGAAGCTGGTGGAATTGGTCATGTTGGGGACGAAGTCGGGGTCGAGGAGGCAGCAGGTATGAACGGCACGGGACTTGCTGTTCAGTGTGGAGTGCTCGCAGATGTAGGAGGGGTTGTCGAGGGCGAGGAACTCCGGAGGGGCACGGCGGGGAGCAGCGAGCCGAAGAGGGTGCACACGAGGGTGATCCTGGCGCCGATCTGGTGTAGGGCAGGTTTAGAGCCGTTGGTGAGGGTCCCACCGCCGACGGAGACGGTGGTGCCGTTGTTGAGGATCACGGAGGCGGCGCAGAAGGTGTAAGGCTGCTCCGCCGGGTCGTCGGTGAAGGGATGAATCTTCTCCCGGCGGTCGATGGTGTAATTCATGTAGACGCCGTTGCAGAAGCTGTCCGGCGGTGGCGGCGAGGGTGCCGGGACGGCCACCGGCGTAGGCAGTGAAGCGCCCACGTACAACGAAAGGACAAGAAGAACAAGTGCAAAAGAAGGCTTCCAACACCAACCCATCATCGCGCGCCCACCCTTCTCCTCGACAACACGCGCAGGACGAGGAGGGAAAAAGGAGTCGAGGAACACGGATTGTTGTGATCTAATATAAGGGAAGCAGTAGCAGAATGGAATTGGAGGGAATGGCTTGTTGAGGTGCTTGTGGACTTTGTTTTGTTTATCTTATACCGTGAGTTTACTTGTTCTGCAATTGAGAGCAATGACTTTACCTCTTGAAAGAACTTTGAATTGTAAGAGTCTCGAGCGATTCAATTGTAAGAACTTTGAATTGGACCGCATAGACACGACCATAATAACAATCGAGGAAAATATTCTATTCGTCTCTCGAAAACATCATGTTAAATCAAGTTAGGTTGATTTAGATATCAATTATATTCACATTAGATGGCTTTTGTTGCTTGAAGCACACTTGGGAGTGTTAGTTTGGTAAGTCCCATAGTCCCACATAAATAAGACTTGTTGTCTCGTCTTGGAACTATAAATAAGGGCCTGAGCTTTGAAGTCAAATACACCACAGGTACCACAAGAGGCACCACAAGAAAAACCTAGGTGTTTGCTTTGATTTAAGTCCATACTCAGTTAAATAGTTTGGACTTATAGTTTGATTTTTCTTGTTTAGTATTTTCGGGTGTTTTATGGCCTAGGAACATCTTCCTAAGGCATTTGTAATTGTCCCTCTTTTGCAATAGTAATTTGCTCCTCTTTCGTCCGTGGATGTAGGTTAAAGTCAATTGACCGAACCACGTATATCTGTTGTTCTGGTGTTCTTGTCGCTTTTATCTTTTCCGTTTTATTGTCTTTGTTGTGTTGCCAAAATTACCTTGTGGTAAATTTCCTGGGGCTAGCTCTAACAAACTGGTATCAGAGCCTGGTTTCTAGGATCTTTTGGCAACGATGACAATAACAAAGATTGTTGTCGAGAAATTCGACAGAAATGTCAACTTCGGCATGTGGCAACTCAAGATGGAGACCATTCTGGTTCAAGACGGAGTTGATTTGGTACTGTAGGGAGCCGAGAGCATTCCAGATGATATGTCAAAAGAAGAGCTTGCGGGTATGGATAAGAAGGCCCGATCAAGCATCATTCTAAATCTCTCTAACGAGGTTTTACGGGAGGTAGCTACGGAGACTACGGCTAAGAGCATGTGGGACAAACTTAAAGCCTTGTACATGAAGAGGACAGTGGAGAATCGTCTCTACTTGAAGCAGAGTCTGTATATGCTTCGGATGATTGAAGGTACATCTATACTCTCGCATTTTGATAAGTTTGATTCTTTGGTTATGGATTTGGAGAATATAGATGCAAAAATTGATGATAAGGATAAGGCTTTGTTACTCTTGTGTTCTCTTCCCCAATCTTTTAAGCATTTCCGTGATACTTTGATTTATGGAAAAGAAACAGTTTCGTATCAAGAAATTAAATCTGCACTGAAATCTAAGGAGCAGATAGACAGGAATATCACTAGGGAAAGTAGAGGGAATCAGGCTGAAGGTCTGGTTGTTAGGGGGAGAATGGATAAAAGAGAATTTGACAGTAGTTGATCTAAATCTAGATCTAAATCCAGACATAGAAATTTGGAATGCAGATATTGTCATAAAATGGGGCATATTAAGACTGATTGTTTTAAATTGAAAAATAAATTAAAGCAAAAAGGAAAACTTGTTGAAAAAACTACTGAATCTGTTGAAGTTAGTGTAGCAATTGATGAGAATGTTGGAAATATTTTTTCTGCTATTGATGACAGGACGAGGTCTAAAAATGAATGGATTTTAGATTCGGGTTGTTCTTATCACATGTGTCCCAATAGGGATTTGTTTTCCACATATGAATCTTGTAATGGTGGAATTATTTTGATGGGCAATAATGCCGCATGTGATGTTGTTGGTAGAGGCACAATCCGAATTAAAATGCATGATGGTATTGTGAGGACGCTCACTAATGTTAGACATGTTCTTGATTTAAAAAAGAATCTCATCTCTTTAGGCACCCTAGAGGCCCTTGGGTGTCTGATTCTGACATCACCAAATTATGGCATATGCGTTTGAGTCATATGAGCGAAAAAGGTTTGAGCATATTGAGCAAAAGAGGTCTACTTTGCGGACAGAGTACTAGGCCACTAGACTTTTGTGAACACTGCATTTTTGGAAAGCAGAAAAGAGTCAGCTTCACTTCTCCGGCAGTTCACAAAACGAAATGTACTCTTGACTATATTCATTCAGACCTTTGGGGTCCAGCTCATGTTCAGTCTAAGGGTGGTGCCAGGTATATGTTGACTTTCATTGATGATTATTCCAGGAAAGTTTGGGTTTATTTTCTGAAGCATAAAAATGATGTTTTTCTAACCTTTAAACAATAGAAGGCTTTGATTGAGAAGCAAACAGGTAAACAGATTAAGCGGCTTCGAACAGATAATGGCATGGAATTTTGTGAAGGTAACTTTGAAGAATTTTACAAAAATGAAGGAATTGCTTGGCATCGCACTGTTAGGATGACGCCTCAACAAAATGGTGTGGCCGAACATATGAACAGAACACTCTTGGAGAGAGCAAGGTGTATGATCTCAAATGCAGGGTTGACAAAGGACTTTTAGGCAGAGGCGATTAATATGGCCTGTTACGTTGTCAACCGCGCTCCTTCTACAGCACTTAATTTTAGAACTCCAGAGGAAGTTTGGTCAGGTACTCCTGCTGATTATTCTGATTTTAAAATTTTGGGTGTCCAGCATACATGCATGTAAATGAAGGAAAATTAGAGCCTTGGGCTAAAAAGTGCATTTTCCTTGGGTATGCTTCTGGGGTGAAAGGATACAGATTATGGTGTCCTGATCCCAAATCCCCAAAATTTGTAATCAGTAGAGATGTTACTTTTGATGAATTATCTATGTTATCTTCTAAAGAGGATTCTACTAGTTGTACAAATGATAGTGCGCAGAAGCAGGTGGAGCTTGAGATTGGTAGTTCAGATTCTTTTAAGTCGAACTCTTCTACTCAAAGAATGCCAGTAGATGGTCCCGAGTCTACTGAGGAAGTTGATCCAGAGGAAGAGCAATATTCCATAGCCAAGGATAGACTACGGAGAGATATTCGACCACCACAAAGATATGCAAATTTGGTTGCATATGCTTTGTCTGTTACAAAAGAGACAAGTGAAGTTGGTGAGCCTACTTCCTACTCAGATGCAGTTTCTTGTGATAATTCCGCTAAGTGGTTGATTGCGATGAATGAAGAAATAGAATCTCTCCATCGGAATAGAACTTGGGATCTTGTGAAGCCGTCTTCGGGTAAGAAAATTGTTGGATGCAAATGAGATACCATTGCTGAGGGGAAAGTCTTTGTTCAGAAAATTCATACGAAGGACAATCCACTTGATATGCTTACGAAGCCTGTTTCAGTTTACAAGTTCAAGAAGTGCTTGGACTTGGTTGGTGTTCATTGTTGGTGATTGCCCATTAGGGCTTTTATGAAGAAGGTGGAGCAAGTTTTGTTGGGATATGCCAAGGTGGAGATTTGTTAGTTTGGCAAGTCCCATAGTCCCACATCGAGAAAATCAGACTTGTTGTCTCGTCTTGGAACTATAAATAAGGGCCTGAGCTTTGAAGTCAGATGTACCACAGGTACCACAAGAAAAACCTAGGTGTTTGCTTTGGTTTAAGTCCATATTCAGTTAAATAGTTTGGACTTATAGTTTGATTTTTCTTGTTTAGTATTTTCGGATGTTTTATGGCCTAGGAACATCTTCCTAAGGCTCCTCTTTCGTCCGTGGATGTAGGTCAAAGTCAATTGACCGAACCATGTATATCTGGTGTTCTGGTGTTCTTATCGCTTTTATCTTTTCCGTTTTATTGTCTTTGTTGTGTTGCCAAAATTATCTTGTGGTAAATTTCCTGGGGCTAGCTCTAACAAGGAGGAAGACTTTGGTTCACTGCATTTGAATCAAACTCGGGGCCGCTGTGGATACCAAAATTACCAAATCTATTACATTTGCCGTCTGATTCGTATCCAACAATGAAATCACGGATCCGATAAAAAGTATATAACAAAGAATCGATGGATGTGGACAAGTAATTGACAAGTGTTTTGATGGTGCCAATGGCTTAGAGTTGAGTTGCAAAGTCTGATTAAGACGCGCCCACCCATTGTTTTGTATATATGCACATCACACCGGTCTCCCACGTCACACGAGGAGAGTTACGAATTAGGCCTTCATGTAAATAATTGATATCTGGTAAGCGTTGAAGACGATTTTGATTCGACGTCTTGTTTATTTATACTGAAGTAATTATCAACTAAGTTAAGTAGCATCTTTATAATTTTATTTTATGATGTTTCGTTTGCTCAACCCACTTCATATTGGCCTATGAAGAAAAGAAAAAAATAATAATTTTTTTAATCATTTATGATTAGAAAAATAATCATAAATTTTTTTCTCATCATTTATAATCAGAAAGACAATTACAAACTTCATTTATGCCCTTTAATAATAAATATAAAAACTCATCTTTAACATAGAAAAATATAAAATATCTATACTCGTACACCTCATATTGCTAATATAAACAATGAAGAGATCAGATCAGAAAACCTCTCCTGACATCAATCTTCGTACATATAATGCTCGAAGACACCTCAAATAATCATACATAAATAAGGTCCGGACCATGTCGGGTTAACAAAAACGTCAACGACATTTTCTCCCGGATAAATATATATCCACTTAAGTGAGTTCTCAACTACCATTATCTTAACATCATGCATATTACTCACGCAAGAAACAATCTGATTTGATCTAATATGATCTACAAATCAACCTTATGATATCATTCCACATGTCACATGAAAACACTATAAGCTAACGGTAGGATGAGGAACCACTGAGAAATTTGACATTAAGGAGTTATACGGACAATCATCAGAGTACATGACGCTAACAAATGGGGCAGTCAAAACTCAAATTTCCCTGGTCAAAATAATTGACATGGAACATTTAATGTTCAAGAAATCACCAACCGTGAAAGATAATTTTATATGACTTGAAGCTGCTGTGCCTTAAAGCTGCTGAACCACGGCACCAAGTCCTTTGCAGACATATTTTATGAAAACTTTACTGACACTGGTAAATAAATGTTTGGACCATACTGATTGGAGCAAGTCATTGGGTCCATGACATAGATTTTGATTCTATCAACAGCTGCAGAAGTGGGGACACCTCTCTCTCTCTCTCTCTCTCTCACTCTCTCTCTTCATAATTCTCTAAGCTTTTATCCTTGCCTCCGTGACTGCAGGTTGAATAGCCTGCCTTCACTTTGCATCAGTAATGACAGCAGAGAGTGATGTAACTAAAGCCAAAGCCTCCTCCCCTCCATTAAGATCGATCTGGTGAAGTTTGTGTTCAGTGGAAAGAGAGAATCCCATGGCAAGATTTCGAATGGAAGACACCAGTGGGGAGGATTGAAGCTATAGTGCCCTAACAACATCCATAAACTTGATGATGACGAGGCAGGCAGGCAATAGTTTGTGTTCAGTGGAGTAAAGGGGTCTGTGTGAGGAAGACGTTGAAGACTGGTACTAGTTACTATGTTGGAAAGGTTGTCTTTTGCCGGCCCCAAGTTAGTGAGATGGAATCAATTCAAGGACTATGAATCCGATCAACCTGTAAAAAGAATCATTAATTAATTAGCAAAAAATTGCATGCTTCCATATTTTACATGTAAAATAAGACTAAGCAAAAAATATTATTTCGGTTGACAGACTCATATCAAAGATGCATCTCGGTAGCCGACTAAAGCGCTTGTGAAATCAAGGAAAATCCACTAAACTTCAATTTACTGAAGCAGCTTAGCTGAGAGGAAGAGTCTTTAAACAAATGTGCAATGACAGGTATCCAGCCAACAAGATTAGCTGGAGAGAGGAAAACTCCAAAGCCAGTTGAAGCAGACACATACATAGCAACAACTTGAAGATTATTTTAAAGCACAGGGAAGGAAGGGCGCATGTGCCACCAGATGTCTGACTCTGGAACTGACAGGCTGGGAGAAACAGAGAGGGGAGTTCAAGGCTGAGGCCAACTGGATTGAGCAGTTCCCTAGGAAAATTTCTGGACCCAAAGGTCTCATATTCTAATAACAAGGAGGCTCAGAAAAAAGAAAGAAAACATGCTGCTTCTCCTTTTTGCTATATAAAAATTGGACTGCTTCAACTGGTTGACAAGTCATACTGGAAAAAGAAAATTGGGGGCAGTTGATTACTTCCACGAATTAAATGACTTGACTAATAGAAAAATATGCAGTCATGCGTCATATAATGTGAAACAAAACATGTAAAACAACGAGGAAGGCCTTCGTTGGTTGAGACGTACCATTCCCCTCATTTGAGAAGTGATTGAGTTGTGTCGCAAAGAACACCGCTTCTCAGCCTCAACTCAGAGATCTCTTTCCTTCTTCGCCGCCGTCGTCTTCGTGATGTATGACTCCCCATCTGCAGCTAAATGAACAAACAAGGTGAGTGAATGAAGTGAAGACTCTTTCCACCACATCCCATAGACTTCTCTCCTGTGCAAGGACCACATCTAGCGGGGACAAATGGTCTATCTATCACTTCTTCTCTCCGACCTCCATGACCCCAAAGGATGACAGATTCCACCTCTCATCAGAACATATATCAGATTCGCGCACCCACCAAAGCAAAACCCATAGTGTTGCTAAAAGATGATTCAAGGTTAAAAATCATACTCGAGTTCAAAGTAACTGTTACAGAAAACGCAAAAGTAGAGGCAAACGGAGTCGTCGTTATCGTCCAAAATCCACCGACACCCCACTGGAGAAGACGAGGACCAAATCGGAGAGGTGACGTCTGCCCCTTCGGCTCTGTGCACACTACTAGATCGATAACTCATTTAAAGGAATGCAGCAGAAGAATGACATAAGATTAGGATCAGATAAGAGAGAGAGAAGAAGAATGAGCCAAAGATGAGACCGTTATGGGGAGGTGCTTCACAGGCGTTTTGCTGCCAGCGAACGTTGAGCCACGGCGCCCCCACCTCTCCGGTCTTCGACACCTATTCTTCTGCACACCTCTCTTGCCTCGAGGATTTACCCTTTTTTTCTGGATTTCTGAAACAAGAACTCATTAATCTATACCTACATTAGGCGAATCAAACAAGATAGACTTCCTACTGCGACACAACGTCATTGCCGGCCGTTAGAAGCTTAGTAGAACCAGTTCGTGTGCATCCAAACCGAGAACAAAGCCCCCCAAAATTTCCTGTTTTAGAAACAGAGCTGCATTGCACTAGAATCGGTCCACTGAACCAAAAGAAGAAGAGCAGTTGCCAGTAAAGAGATGAAGCAATTTAATTCAATATAGGTAGATATACATAACAAATTCGACCTATCTGTCTCACTTCTTTATTCAGGGAGGGAGCAATAATAGAATTAAAATTACAAATCGCCCCAAAGCGGGTAAAAAAAAGGGGCTAAACTAATGCAGATTAAATCCGTAAGAAGAATCAAACGTAAAAATTCGAAACAAGAGATGAGAAAGTAGATGAAGGTTTAGGATAGTAATTGAAGAACATTAGCGGCGGCGGAAAGGTGGGAGCAGGCGGTCGTTTTACCGGCTGGGGGCAGCGGCGTCAAGCGTCAGCGGGGCCGTATAGGTCGTAGGGAGCCCAGAGGTGGTCGAGCGGGCACGGCCGTTTGGAGTCGAGCCGCACCCATGGCTTGCCGCTACCGCTCCAGTGGAGAAGGCTCACGTGCCCTGGGTGGAGGTCACGGCAGCTGCCTCTGGCGTTGTCCCCGCCCAGGCCATGTTGGTTCCACCGGTGCTCGATCGGTGCAACGTGGCCGGCGAACACCAGCAGGAAGGGCGGTAGCGACCCCAGCTCGTAGATACGGCCGGCACCGCTGGGGGCGGCACCGCTTTTCTGCACCTCCATCCATCGCTCGATCCTGCGCGTGTAACCGGCGCGCCGCCACCGGACCAGGTCCAGCACCATCACCCCCGTGTTGAAGTAGCACGGCCGGCGGCCGGCGAACGTGGCCGCGAGGCGATGGTCGGACCAGAACCGGTCGGTGAAATACTTGGTGAAGTTAGCGTGGCAGTACTCTGGTGCGCCTACGGCCCGCGACCCCAGCCGTGTCCGCCATAGCTTGCCGATGTCGTCAACCACCACCAGGTCGGAGTCGAGGTAGATCACCCGGTTAACGCACCGCTCAAGGATGTCCCCCAGGTAGTTACGGGCGTAGTTGAGCGGCTGCTCCAGTGCCTGCCGCACCGACGTAGAGATGAGCGCCCGGACCCGGTCGGGGTCAAAGTAGTACGCCTTGAAGCGGAGGCCCGGGAAGGCGGACCTCACCACCGACTCCAGGCCCGGCTCCGACAGTAGCAAGTGGAAGAAAACGTTCTCCGGGCACCGAGCGTGGGTGAGAACCGAGTGGACCGCCGCTATCGAGCCGCGCAGGTACTCCTCGTCGAGGGTGATGGCGATGTGCACCAGCGAGGGGTCGCAGACCGAGGTTCCGTTCGCCGACGGGGGCTCGCACTCGGCGGCATTGTGGAATCGCGGCGCCCTCCGGAACACGAGGCTTTCGGCGTCGCCGGATGCCGCGGCAAGGTGGTGGTTGTAACCGCCGCCGCCGGCGGGGATGCGGAGGTAATGAGACGACCGGATAGCCTCGGCAGGGGGGAAGGATTGGAGGGAAGGGGACAGCACTACCATGACCATGGCGAGGGAGCACAGGCCGGAGAGGCGGGCAACCCAGAGCATGGTTCCACCACCCCGCCGGCCACAGCCCCTACGCCGGCGGCGCCTTCGGGTCTTGAAATCGAAGAGATCGGCAAGGCGGGCGAGCGCGGACACCAGGACGAGGGCGAGCGTGCCCCTGATCCCCGCCAGAGCGAAGAACAAGGAAGACCCACCCGCTCTCGATCTCGATCCAGGAATGGAGGCAGAGTTAGGGCTTCAGTACTTGGATCCCTCGGGAACGAAGCGATCGCATGGGGAGGGGAAAGCGCAGGGGAACCCTAAAAGCCAGCGGGAAAAATCCACGGACGGCGAGCAGACCAAGGAAGCCCTTGCGATGACCTCACTCGCGACGCACTCGTCCGCCCCCAATGGCTCACTTCACGCCCACCATCTCCTCCCCCGATCTGCCTCTACAGCGTCTCTTTCTGCCGATGGCAGCGAAGCAGCGGCGGCAGTGGGAGAAAAATGGGACAATCCCTCGAGCTTCTTCGGACCATAGAACAAATCCTTAGCTTCGTATTAATAATTACTCCCCCGCGGTGTATAATTATTAGTACATTCTCATTATTAGCTTCGTGCTTATTCAGTCGATGTGCTTCATTTGATTAAGCTGCGGGGATGGAGAGCAGGAGGGCACAGCTGGCTTCGTGATTCACTGACAGGGACAAATCAGAGCCGTCCCTTTGGACCCAGGTCTTTTTTGCCCCTTAGACCGTCTTCTCTTTCCATCTCAACCAACTCCTCTTTTACACGGAACAAAGGGGTAGTACCGTCAATTCGGTTTTGGAGGGGTACTTTAAAGGTCATATACTCCACATTTCGAAAACGAAGTTTATGTATCTATCGACCTTTCCATGTTTGAACCGTTTCGACTGCGGATTAAAAGATAGATCAAATGACGAGGATGGCCCCGAATCGTCCGACCACGTGGCGTGATTAAACTAGTTACCTGTGTCAAGCCGGCGGCCCATAGCCATCCACGTGGGTGAGATGCACAGTTGTACGGCTGATGCCAATTCTGACCGGGTTCGGCTCGCGATTGATTCGTGCGCGCGATCGTCGAGCCGAGCCGCGCCGGCTCCAGGTCGGATTCGCTGCAAGTAATTCAACGTGGCAGTTCGCTGCCACTTGCGCCTTTTGCCCAACAATTTTAATGCTTCTTTGCAAGCCGGTGCTACATGGGATCCGTGACAGAAGGTTAGCCGGCATCCTCGTGACCGTCATTACCATACATATTTAATTGTTCCATTAATCATTTTCCAAACCGTCGGTTCGATTAATAAAAAATTAAATTAACCCATAAAAACTCAAATTATTATATTTTAAATTTGAATCACTAACCATTATATTTATATATATTAATTTTAAATCAAATATCAAATAATCGAATCGTTGATCTTATTCCTTTCATTTTGTTCCTTATGTTCCAAATGTGATAACTAGTCTTTTTCTGTGATTTAAATTTGATGGTGAAAGATATATATATGGGTCCATTTGACATCGATGGTAGAACAAATATGAAGTAGCCAACCTACCCCAACTCTACTATAACAATAAAATATGTGACACATGTTAACCTTCTCCTTTCTAAAACATTTGTTGATCACTTAACATTGGAAAGTGGAGAGATGAATGTGACTGTCTTTTGATGTAGTGATTCAAGCGTATCTAAATTTTCTTTGCGTTAAACCCATTCAAGTGAAGCATTAAGAGCTTTTTGTTGTCTGTATTATTAGATGTAGGAATGAATACCAATGAAGTGTTCAACATTAATCATGGTGATTGCAATTTAGATTTCATCCATGAGAACTCTGACTTGTTTTGATTGAGTTGTTAAAGCGTCTCCATCTTGATCCAAGCAAACATGTTGGGAATGAAGTCAATGTGGAGTGCTACTCATGAAAGGCAATTTATATACACATTTGACTGACTTAAATCCTATCTGATGCCGTCATCAAACAAAATAATAGCAGTAAAGCAGTGTTCTATTTGTCTTGAGGAATAGGAACAAGAAACTAAGTTTGTGAAGCTTCCTATGTGAGGAATAAGATTGCAACGCTGAAGAGACTCATTAATTTAGAGAATCCAATGGATGTGTTCATGTTAATATACTAACTCTATATGTACCATATTATGTGCTAATTATATGCCTAATTAAATAATTATTACCAAATCAACAATGTTTTGGATTGAGCAAACTATAGATTGAAAATTGAAAGGATCCAAAGTTACAGACGCAGCCAAAGCCGCTGTCATGTCCCTTACATAGGTTTAATTAATTACTAATCTCCCTCGCTTATAAATAGCCCTAAATATGATTATATTTATATATATATATATATATATATATATATATATATATATATATATATATATATATAGAGTTTACGATATAATGGTTAAATCTTTAAATATTAATAAAAGTAATTAGTTTGATTATAAATTATATATTTTTTATATAACTTTTTAATGTCATTAAAAATATTTTTCCATAATTTATTTGTAATTAAAAAAATTAACGATTCCAATCCTTTCCTCTTGCCGAGGATATCCGGCCGTCTCATTACCTCCGCATCCCCGCCGGCTGCTGCGATTACAACCACCACCTTGCTGCGGCAGCCGGCGACGCTGAAACCCTCGCGTTCCGTAGGGCGCCGCGGTTCCATAATGCCGCCGAGTGCGAGCCCCCATAGGCGAACGGCACCCCCTCGCTGGTGCACATGGCCATCACCCTCGACGAGGAGTACCTGCACGGCTCGATAGCGGCGGTCCACTCGGTTCCCGGAGAACGTTTTCCGCCACATTCTACTATCGAAGCCGGGCCTGGAGTCGATGGTGAGGTCCGCTTTCCCGGGCCTCCGCTTCAAGGCGTACTAGTTTGACCCCGACCGGGCCCGGATGCTTATCTCGATGTCGGTGCAGCAGGCACTGGAACAGCCGCCCAACTACGCCCGCAACTACCTGGGGGACATCCTTGAGCGGTGAGTTAACCGGGTGATCTACCTCGACTCTGACCTGGTGGTGGTTGACGACATCGGCAACCTATGGTGGACAGGGTTGGGTTCGCGGGCAGTAGGCGCAGGCGAGTACTGCTACGCTAACTTCATCAAGTACTTCACCGATCGGTTCTGGTCTGACCATCGCCTCGCGGCCACTTTCGCTGGCCGCGGGCGTGCTACTTCAACACGGGGCTGATGGTGCTGGACCTAGTCCGGTGGCGCCGGGAACACGCGCCGGATCGAGCGGTGGATGGAGGTTCAGAAGAGCGGTGCCGGCCGTATCTATGAACTGGGATCCCTACCGCCCTTCCTGCTGGTGTTGGCCGGCCACGTTACACCTATCAAACGCCGGTGGAACCAGCACAGCCTGGGCGGGGACAACGTCAGGGGCAGCTGCCGGGACCTCCACCCAGGGCACGTGAGCCGTCTCCACTGGAGCGGCAGCGGCAAGCCATGGGTGCAGCTCGACTCGAAACGGTCGTGCCCGCACGACCACCTCTGGGATCCCTACGACCTATACGGCCGCGCTAACGCCTGACGCCGCTGCCCCCACCGGGTAAAACGACCGCCTACTACCACCTTTACGGCCGCTGCTAATGTTCTTTGATTACTATCCTAAACCTTCATCATCGTCAGTATCATCATCTACTTTCTCAGTCTCTTGTTTCGAAATTTTACGTTTGATTCTTCTTACGTATTTAATCTGCATCAGTTTAGCTTTATCGAATTAAATTGCTTCATCTCTTAACTGGCAACTGCTCTTCTTTCTTTACGTTCAATGGACCGATTCTGGTGCATGCACCTCTGTTTCTAGAACAGGAAAATTCTAGTGCATGCATCTCGTAAATGCCCCTTGTCCTTCTCGCCCGTCGCCTTCATCTGGTCGCTCCCAAGATAACCTCCATCACCTGTTCCCAACGCTACCCTCTGCCTTTGCTCCCAATGTCACAATCACCTTGGGTGCAAGTGGAGGAGGAGGTGGAGCTAGAGACGGAGGGTGTGTTAGAACATGCGGTCATTTTATAATTGAATAAGATATATAATAGAATAACTAATTGGGTTTCGTTTAGATATTTTAGTAGGAAATCTCCTGAGATCTTATCTCCGTTGAGGGATTTCAGTTTCATCAAAAAACCCCTTTCTTCTAAAATCTATCACTTGGGTCCTGTGAAAGGATAGGAAGAGAGGAGAAAAGATCTACTTCTCCTTACACTCTTTGCAGACGGTGATGGTGCCTGTAATTTTGCAACGGTGGCGGGCAGCAATCTTGGATTAAAGACGGTGCTTAGTAGATCAACCGAGATCTCTGAAGAGATACATCAAAAGGTACGCATCATAATTAGATCTATATATTTTTTATTTCAATCCTGGCATATAAGTTATTTTCGTATTTTAAATATAGCATAATTATAGACTTTATGCTTACAATTGGTATCAGAGTCTGGTTTTTGAAATCAAATGTATTAGATCTGTAAATTTATTTACGATGCATAAAATTACCTTCATCTTGGTATCAGAGTCCAAGAATTGCTAAGCAGTAATGGTCACCGTCGACCCCGCTGTGAATCTGTGACTACGCCGGGTAGCGTACGCATCATAGAACCTGTCCCATATGCAGACATCACAGAACCCGTCCCATATGCGGACATCACAGAACCCGTCTCATATGCGGACGCGTCCCATATGCGGACATCACAGAACCCGTCCCATATGCGGACATCACAGAACCTGTCCCATATGCATGCATTACTGAATCCGTCCCATACACGGAACCCGTCCGCGACGGTCGGCCGCACATGGCCAGAACCCGTCCATGCGACGGTCAGCCACACGCAGGCAGACAACCCAAGTGGCGACCGTGCGTGAGTAGGCCATGCACAGGCGGCGGCCGTGCGTTGGCAGCAGCCACGCGCGTAAGCAATAGTAGCCCCGCAGCGGCAGCGACCGCGCGCAGGCTAGAATTGCCGTTGGCAGCCGCGCACAGGCGGCCGGGCCGCAGGCAGCAGCGGCAGCGCCGCTTGCGTAGGCGGCGGCGACGAAGGCCGATTAAGGTTTTTTGGGGCATAATTACGGTTTTGCCCTCGAGGCTAGGGTTTTGCAAAAATACAGTTTTACCCTTTGCAAATTTCGTAATTTAAGATTATGTTCTGTCAATATATTTATGGTTTTACCCTCGGGTTTAATTTATGCCAAAATTACAGTTCTGCCATTCGCATATTTCTGATTTATTCCATTTCAAAAAATTTATGGTTTTATCAAAAATTGAGAAATTTAATTCATATTCTCAATTATAAATTGATAAATATGATTTATTATAATTATGATTAATTTTAATCATAATTATATTTTTGATTATTTGATTGGATTTATTTTTTGATTAAAAAAACTATAAATTATGGTTTACTTTATAGTTTTCTCATATAAATTATTGATTTTACATGTGATAAATAAAATTAAAATCCAATTATTGTTTTTGGACTTTTATTTATTTATTCACATGTATATATATGAAATTGTGAAATAATGTATATCTTTCACATGATTTATAT